TATTATTTGTATTTGAGTGCTTTATTATATTGGAATTGCAGTGATATTAACATTTGTACAAATGCACAAAATCTTGTCTCTTCTTGCTAGAAAGAGATGTAAAAATCTGACCTAGTTGAATAGTCTTAATGAACTCACGGTCCATTGGTAACAATAAATGCGTTCACAATGCAACAAAAAGCTTAACATAAAATTAAACATATTAAATGCTGCAGCAAATATTTACATGTATGTATCTCCAATTTTTCTCCTTCCAATGGGAAGGTGGTTGCTTTACAAATAGACAAACAAACACAGATGCTTTGCTGTTTATACAATGACAAACAACCCCAAGTCCAGAACTTAAAGTGACAGCACCTTTTTTTTCGGGGGGGGGGGCCTTCTTTAGTCAACCCTTAGTTTACACAGTGCTAAACTTTTTTTTCAATTATATGTTTTTCGACAATATTTATATTACAATTGTCTTAGAACACTGCATCTGAACAGAGCCATTTTTCTGGGCCTTTTTAGAAGATTCCCCAACCCTCTGTTCTCTCCAGGGAGGACACCTCAAGCTTTCCTCCCAATCTTCAAAGGCCCTCCTCCTCTCTCTGTGGGGAGGGGGAGCTTAGTGAAGCTTAGAAGGAAAGCGGTGAACAGGTCTTGTCTATTGGCTGGTTGGTTGAGAAGGGTTTTCTCTTAAACCCTCTTTCTTGGGCACCACTGATACCTTTCCTTGTCCCCTGCAGTGTTGGTAGCATTGGCAATTCCAAAGGAGGAAACAAGAGTCGAATGAGCTTATTGTGCAGAAGATTTTAAGGATATATTTAAAGCTAATTTATTCAGATCCCACATTCTCAGTCCTGAGGCTAAATGATTTTATCTTTTAAAAAATCCTATAAAGTTCTATAATATAAAGCTTGATGTAAGAAAACCTTAAATGGCTGAGGAAGAACTTTCTAGAGTCTGGCTTCTAATGAGCTAGACATTTTAAGTTGGTCTGAATATAGCAGTTGATAATTATTGATTCCTTTCTGATGATAGGCTTGGCAAGGTATCAGAGTGCCACTTAAGAATCTTCATCTCTTAACAATTTCTGGCAGTTTGGCTTTACCCCCTTTTTCAGCTTCGCTTAAATATTTTTTTTCTCAAAAAATAGACTATTTATAAGGAAAAAAAATATAAACACTCTTTAAACAATTTGGCTACAAGCATTACATCACTGAAAAACTGCACAAGAGATAGTAAAATATTTTGAATGGACATACAACTTTTCATTTTCACAACATTATGAGCTAGGTTTTTTGTTGTTAAAAATGTCTTCATTTTGGTATTGGGTTTTACTTGTAAGTTTATTGCTCCTGTGTCTTCTTACCCTTCCTTAGTCTGTAATTGTAAAATAGAGGTGCTGTCCCTAATCATGTTACAAGGCCACATTGTATTTTTGAGACCTAGGAATAAAATTAATAGGGCAACTATTCTGTCAGTTACCTCAAAGAGACTATGGCTAGGACAACTGTCAAACGTGCACCACGATGCACAAAAGAATAAGTCTCCTGGCTTATTCAGGACACTTTGGTTTGGAGGATGAGATAGAAAATTCTTAAGTATAGCTTAGCTGCTGCCTCACATTTGTTGCATAATATAACATTTTGAACAAACATGCTATCAACAAGGAGATAAAGAGATAAACCATATAGTGTACTGGCTCTTCTTGGCATTCTTGTAGCAGGCTTCATCTACGCTGATGTGAGAAACACTTCTTAGCTATGCTACTCATGAATGCACACAAATGTACCTGGTGCAAATATTCCATAAAGTATTTTAAATGATGCAGCTCAAAGCCCTACAGGAAGGGTGGAGGAGCAAGAGGGGGTCGAAGGCAAGTTTAAGGACAAAGAATGGGTTAGAAAGAGAATGAGGCAAATAGAAAGGGATCAAAAAAGCTAAAGTGCAATTTCAAAATATAAATTATTTTCAAAGCAAAAAAAGAGATCCTAAATTGCTACAGTTCACATAGGCACAGTTTTATTCAAATTTAAATGGGTTATTTTCTTTCCCTTCTCCAAAATACTGCATAATGGAGCTTGAATGGCTTAAAGCTACTTCATACTGCTGGGAAGGGACCCGAAGCTCTGAGGAAGCTGGTAGTGCAAGGCCTTCTAGGAAACTGGGGTGGGGTAGAATGAAGCAGAAATGAAGCTGACTTTATACTTTTATAAGAAAGCTGTTCCAGTTATAGTCACTGACTCCCTTTAGCTGAACTCTGCTTCCTAAATAAAAGAACTTACTTTAAAAATGAAAAGAAGAAATCCATGTTAAAAAACCTGGTTAGAATGCAGATTAAAAATAACTCACAGAGCAATAAAAATCCTCGACGTGTCTATGCACAGAGATCTAAGCAAACATTTCCACCAAACAATGGAGAATAGCTATTTGAAACCCTGAAAAATGAAAATACACACTACTAGAGTAGTTTATTATGGACTAATATTTTAAAAACAAGTAGAACCTACAGAAGAATACTGTTCAAATGGAATGTTTAAAAATAACATTCATTAATAAATATCTTATAAAATTCTAAATTAATAGATTCCTGTTCAAATTTTGCTTTGGTCCTTGAATTCCACTGTATACCTACATACATACATATATATTTTCTTAGATGGTTTTTTTTAATTAGAAAGAAGCATATTCTATCCTAACTGGGTGGCTAGTTTTATAGCAATTACTGATGCTTAAAACCCCCTGGCCAAAGGCTGGTCTTTTATTGTAGCTGGTTTATGACTTTAATGACAAAACTCAATTAGCTCACTAAGATTTACTTAACTGACAGGCAACAACCACCTGAACATTCACCATTGACACCTCGCTCTCAGAATATGTACTCCATTTAATTTCCTTGACTAGATAAGCTGTGAGAAGCATGTGCTTCAAGTAAGTCACCCTTATTATGACATACACCTTAATAGCATACACACTGCTTGTCTCCCATGAACTGTGTTCAGAAGGTGACTTGCATACACTGATGTAGGGGTAGGTGCAGGAAAGGGAAAACATCTGACTTAACATCTAGTTTTGCAATTAGTACATTTATCCATGGCTGCAGTTTTTCAATATACCTGTGGCATCATAGATTGGGAAATGTGTCAGAGAAACAATTAAGATGAGGATGCCTCCATTTAGGTGAGGATTCACCTGACTGAAATGCTTTCAGGTATACAACATAAATTGTTGGCTCACAGCACACTAGGCAGGGGAGGCACTGTTTAAGTTCCCAGTAGGCTGGCAGTGACTTCAGAGGCATATCCTGCCAATAAAGAAAGCCACACAGATAAAGAAAGCCACACACAGGGATAGGAAATGCCTGAGGGACCTTCCCTCCTAAGCACTGGGGCTCTCAAGATCATTACCACTGGTTTGCAAAAGTATGCAAGGGGACTCTGACTGGGAGAGGAGAAGGGGTTAAAAGATGTTCTCCAAGACTGGCCAGAAGTGTAGGTTAACAAGTACAGAAGGTAACTTCAGGCAGATTCTGTGACCTAGACCTTTAGGTGAAATTCTTGGTATTGTTAGGCCAAGTGATGGATTTGACCAAGAATCTTCCTGTTTGGTCTTTCAAAAACTGACAACCAGCTGGCATCTTTCATTTACTGCATTTCCATACCGCGAATGAACATACCTAAGGGCCCTGAGTATAACAAAAAGGCAGTTTATCCTACTTATGTATGTTGAGGGTGGTTTGCTAACGTGTGTGGTTGGTTTGCCTGCTTAGCATAAAAAACAGACATAAGCAAGCTATAAATAATGCACATCAGTCAAACTGTCAAGTTGCTGAATTAATAAAACTCAGGCAAGTTTGCAAAGGCTTTCAGGTTAACAACTAAATATTTCAATTAGAAAGTGAAAGAGGAATAAACGAAATCATAATTTTAGTGGATTTTAGTGACATCACTCCCTGACATTCTGATATTACAAGTGGATTTTTTAAAAATCCATTTCATTAAGTGCTATGCATGCAGTAAAGTTTTTGCTTGCTTAAAGCAAAACATAAAATAAAAATAAAATTAAAAACCGAAACAATCACTTCAATTGACTTTTCTTTTCCTTTTTGGGGTCTAGGGGGACACACAGATGGTCCTAGGAAGAAATTCTGAAAAAATTATTTTTTAATTTTAAGAACAGAGATGCAAATGTTAATTTCTTTTCCAATCTAAGTCTTAAACATTTTTTAGGAAACCAGTTAGGTTAAACCATTTTGTGACTGCTGAATTTAAAAACAAACAAACAAACAATTCAGTATTTAAAATACTTGGAAATATCTTAAATATAATAGAAAATCCTTTTGATTTTTTTCTTTTCTTCTCCTTTTTTTTTTTGCATTTGTTTTGATCCTTAGACCATATATCCAAGTCCTAAATTTTACTGAACACTCAAAATCATCTTTTGAAAGCACTGCATACATGGAAAAATTGTTGCTAAATATTGCTTTAAAAAGTAATAGATAAAAAATGAAACTAGTTATAAAAATCATGCTTCATGGCCCTCATATTTTTTTTCCTCCAAAATAGATTTTTATATTATAGTGAGAGAAAAAAACACATCCTTTCCTTTTCTGAACTCTTATAAAAGTGACCCATTTTGTAAAATACTGTTCTGTCCAAGCCCATAAACACTCACTCACACGCACGCACACGCAGGCACACAAGTTAGGAGGTCAAGCATTCAAATGGAGATGAAACCAGCACCTGCCTAGACTGCTAGAGAGAAACATTAGTCCCTATTATTTGTGAAACATGATATTAAAATCTTAGCACAGTAGAATGGCTTGTTTCAAGGAGGCACGACTGTGGTTTGGGTCCTATCTGCTTTTCATAATGGGCAAGTCCACGTTAACATGCTGAAAATATAAATCAGAATTACTCAGAAGAGTGGAGGAGCTTGCGCCACATCCATGGGATTCCGCCAGCAGCAAATTGCGCAGTACTGTTCTGGGGGGGCTGAGAGCACCCTACGGGAACACTGAACTTGCTTTCTCTCTTTGTTTGTCCAGTAGTTGGTCTGCTTTCACCCACCAGAACAGCAGGGCTGGTTCCATAGGCTTAAGAAAAAAAAATAATAATAAATCTTAGGCTATTAGCAGCTGATGACTGAACAAGGTAATCTGTGTAGTGAATAGAGCCCTTCTGAGTTATTATATAGTACATGGATTTTCAACATTATAGACAGGCCATATAAAACCAGTTGTAACTCAAGGGTATGATGTTATAGCCCCGCATCATAATTTGGACTTTCACAATTGGGGCTTACAAAGCTCCCTTCCCCAGTGTCTCCACAGCTGGCACTCAACAGTGCTTCACCTATAACTAAGCCACCTTTTTATTTGCTCTGATTATTAAAAACATTAAATCAGGCACATTAAACATCTCCTGGTTACTATTTTGTGAAAAGCGAGTGTTGAATGAGCTCCAGCTGTAGGTTACAGGCAAGTGAAGCAATGGCGAGATCTGCATTTCTGAGGTTTGTTCTTCTTTTCTTTTAACATTACTTTCTTCTTCACATGCAGTGCTAACGGGGTGGGGCAGGAGATAGTTCAAATGAAGAGTCAATGGGGAACTCAAGATACAAGGTGGGAATGAAGACGAAAATGGGACATTGGAGCAAGTGCACAGAGGAGGAGAGTAGGGAGATGCTTGGTGGTTTTATTAGGACATGGGTGGATCTTATAATTTTTTGTAGTTAGAGAAAATTGTTGGAAAGGTTGTCTGGGATTCTGGTGACATCACAGCCCAAACTCAACATGAATTATGATGTCATCAGATTTCCTACCCAGTTATCTTGGATCCGGCTCACTTAACATCTAGGTATGCCTCATTTTGGCTAAAAGCTGTGTGATTTAACAAGATTCCATTGTTTCAGGCAAAGGGTAAGACTGATAAGAAGGAAACCGTGGCTATATACAGAAAAGATTCTGTTTATAAACAAGTAACTGGTACCAGAAAATTGGAGGAAAGCACCAAAGCATTTCCCAAGCTGATAGATATTAATTGCATAACTCCCTTTTTTCTTATATAACTAAGTATAAAAGACAACATTTTCCATAGTAACTATAAAAATGAAAGCCAGTCTTTGAAGGGCTGAGGAGTCTTCCAGGTCTGAGTGAATTTTAAAAATGCCCTTAAGAGAAAGGATGCATGATATGCTACAGCTCTTCTTGGAGGCAAGGTCTGAGCCGTGCACTTTAAAGAATTGGGTTCAGGTCTGTTCTGTGAGTAGTGAGCTGGCTGAGGGTGGAGCTTCCTACGACCTCACTGACCGACGAGGAAGTGGTGATGGTGTTATGCTGGATGACTTGCTGCTGCGAACATGCTGGGACAGGACTTGCGGGAGGGCTACTCTCTGGACCTAGGAGAAAACACACATATGCACACACCAATGTAGCTCTTTCTTGTGTGGACTTGCCAACTCCTCAGAAAACAATCAGTACTAGACATTTGCTTGACATAGAAGAGTTGCACACATTTTCTTCTGGATCTTAATTTCAAACCTTCATTTTTAATCTGTAGTCACAAGGCTAGGCTTTCCTGGTTTATAGTTCTGAGCAAAGTCAGGCTTTCTACATCAGCAGGATGATTAGATGTGTTTGGTCTTGGTATGTGAACTTCCCATCTTGTGTTTTCAGATAGCCATCCATATATCAAATGTGGAAAAATACTCACATATGGTGGGAGAATCTGTGGTGCTCAATCTAAAAAATTATTTGAAAATAAATTGACCTTCAGCCACAAATCATTGCTCCTCCCACCATCCCCTACTCTACTGGCACATCACTTATTGACATTTCAGATGCAGAAGTTGCCTATGGGTCCATTTTGCCTATTGGTAAACTGAGAACAGGTCACCAGAAAGTAACATACAGTGTATCCCAAGGCATTGGAAGTGATTCATCCCATACCTACTTCCCAGCCCATGGACTGCTCAAGACGGATAGGCCACTGGTAATTGGCTTCTCAGGCTATTTGCTTCCTGGCTGCAAAACTGGAATTTGGTAGGATTTTGCAATATAAAATGCCAAGGAAAGTGTATCCAGAAATTAACAGGAGGTGGTGAGCATGGTGTTGGACAGGGGTCAGGAAAGAGGGATCCCTCTGGTAGAAATGCCTGGTAGTCATTCAAGAATTCCAGTATATCTGCCTGGAAGCACAATCTACACTTGACTTTTGCTCTTACAATAAAATTCAATGCAAAATTGGTGGCCAAAGATTGGATGCATGCACAAAAAGTGAAAACAGTGACTTACTTAAATATCCTTGTGATTCTTTCTGCATGGCTGTTATTGGGCAGTCTTTGTGTGTTAATAACAATTGTTTCAGTTGGGCCACTTCATTTTTCAACATGGAAACTTCATTCTGGAAAGAGATAAATGAAATCCAAGCTCAGCAGACCTGAGAATACAAACCCAAAGCCCCATGCACTTTCAACAATGAAAGTGGTAAACTTTTCTATAATGTCTACAATACATTCAGGATATTGTTTAAAGGGGTTCATCTGAAAACGTGTAGCTTGCCTTTGAGTGTAACCCTCACATTTACCAGAGCCTTTCTAAACTCCAGAGTAAAAGGCTAAGATCACACCCTTTAGGTGATAGCTTCTGGAGCAGGTTTTGAAAGTGAGAATCCCCTCACTATTCTTACTATGTGACCCTAGGCAAATAATATAACCCCGATGAACTCCACCTACCTCCTTTCTAAGATAGGATTAGGATTAAATGAGGTATGGGTGTAAAACACTCACAACAATTCTCAGCACAGACTAAGTACCCAATGAATTTGAGGAGAATGTGAAGGTGAGGAATGCACTAGAGAGAGTTATGTGGCAGGATCAATGGCTTCCAAGTGCAGTAAGAACAAGCAGACCAACCTACTATCAGATTTCCCCCAAGTGTCCCACCTGGGCCGCAGTGGAGCAAGCATATCCTTCCTGCTGCCTTCTTACTGGGGGTATGGAAGCCCAGATGCTTGTTTTACCATCTACTGGCAGGAATATGGCAACCCAGGAAGACCAGGGGAAATAAAACTGGTCATGATTGGATTCATTTTATAAGTTTAAGTAGTTTGAATAATTTCAGTCTATAATCTCCCTCTCCCATGTTAAAGTACTATGGATGATGTTTTCTTTTTTCTCATTTACCCAGATAAGTGCCTCAGATTTCTACTTCATATAGTAGTTCACAAAGGCATGCTCACAGCTTTGTAGAATAATGTTCTTGGCACTCACTGTCTACAAATAGAACTGTAGAATAGATGGTGCTTCCTCTTGATAAAAGTAAACTATAAACATCATGCTATCTAAAATAAGCAGTTTTAAAACCGTGATAAATAATACTCTCTCTCTGGCCAAGGTTCATTTGTGGCTGGCAGACATTATATTTCCCCATGTAGGAAATGTGAAAAAAAAAAAAAAAGCATACGCACAGAAAAGGCCATTTAATGTTGCTGTCATTAAGTTGAATCTACACTTGCCATTTGAACTTGACTTTTCAGGCATGTATTTATCACCTAGGGAAGTAAGTTTGGGGTTCTAAAAGTTACTTGAAAATGGAAGCCTGTATTAAAGAATCATTCTCCTTTCTAAACTCATTTGGAGCACTCAGTGAAACATTATAAGTAACTGCATACTGAGTAACATTAATAACAAAGTAATAAAAATCTCATATTCAAAAGATTTTCCTTTTCTCCTCCAAATTGCAAAATAAAAATGGCTATTTCAGAAATTAGCCTTAATGATGAATAAATCACTTAACTGTGCAAGAAAATTGCTCTTAAACCTGAAAACATTCATGAAGGCAAACTGCTCCTCCTACTTCTCAGTAAGTAGGATTGATAAGGATCCCTAACCACTCAAACTGATCTTTGTCAATTCTGGGGTACTTGAACAACTTTATTTATAGGACAATTTATTTTAGCCTCAAAACACTAACTCTTTCCTCTCTGAAATTTTGTCTAAATTCAGATAGCCTTTATTTCTCCCAGTTCCCTCACTGCTTAAAATACCATGTATTAAAGAAAGCCACTTTCTGGCCACTATGTGAAAGAAATCCGTGGTTAGAAACAAAACAAAACAGAAAAGGAAATTACGAGGTGTGTGTGGTGTGTGTGTTTGTGTGTGTCGTGTTATCTGCATTTGGGCTACAGAAGTAATACTTTTCTGAAATTACCACTCCCAGACACCTGCCCTGAGTAAGAAGATAGTGTAGACAAGGGTTCTTAGAAAATGGTATCAAATTCCAATTTTTAGTGAATCTATACTTTTCTACTCAGGCCTAAATAAAACAAACAAGGAAAGTATTAAACTCAAACCCTATTCTCTTGCTTTTGTACTTTGGAAAGAAAAAATAACCCTTGGTGGCTGTCTTGGAGACAGTGAGTTTAGACCTCATCTTTTCCCATTTTGTATTTCACACAGAGCCCTGACCAGCAGCATTTGATCTCTAGGCATGAAGAGTTCATTGCTTCTTTTTAAAGAAAAACACCCACAGATTCCATTTTCTGGGTTTCTGTAACTGCAAGGAGCACAACCCAAATTATTTCACAACAAACCTTCTCCTTCCATAAAACTGCTTTACTATAAAACAACATCAATCATAGCTCTGAACAGCATATGTTGTGTGCTGGCCTATCACTAAAGGCCCATGCAAAATATGACACTAATGGCATTTTGTGTATGTATAGCAAAACACTATTAATAAACCAGTATGCCTTAACTATAAAGAAACCAAGGATCTGAGAGTTGTAAAAGTGTGTAAAAACATAGGAAGACAGTGAACATTATCAAAATTTACTATCACTTAAAATATATATGAGTATGGTCATATTTCTTAATGTAATGTGTTGGTCCTTATGTAGTCAAGTTATGGTTCAAAAATGGACAATTAATATCCTCAATAGAGAAGAAGGACAATTGGCCTCTTGTTTGGATCACATGCATATTAAATATTATGCTGCAGGGGACTAAGTAAAGGTCTCACAATCACAGAAATTTGCCTGGCAGCAGGCAGTAGGAAAAGTAGGTCTCAACTAGGACTAACAGGGCTTGAAGGCAGGGGTGTAACTCTGGGGTAGAGTGCTTTCTTAGCTTGTACAAGTCCCTAGGTTCAATCCCTAGCACTGATTAAAAAATAAGAGCAAGAGAATAATAGGGCTTACCTTCCTAAATTGCTGCACTAAGTATAAAGCAAGAGGTTTGGCCTAGTTCCAGAGTTCCTTTCAGACAGACAGCTTCTTATGCTATGATTGTTTTTGTGTGTTCTGTGTGCCTTCTACTAAAAAAGCTCATTACCTAAGAATTAACAAAGGGCTCAATCTTGAGATTTATTCATTAATTTACTACTGCTATTCTCAGAAACGCTTGTATTTCAGATCTTATATTTCACTGGGAAGCTAGTTTTTAACACATCTAGTACTTCCAGATCTTATCAGGGCACAGTCCAAAGCAACACTGCAGGTTTTATCTTAGAGCAAACTTTTGTATTCCATGTTTTCATCTATATTGTTGAGTCTATGGTAGCTTCATCAGATTCTAGCAAGGTCAAGAATCATGCCCTAGAGAAAAGAGAGTGAGTTGTGGCTGTGCATATGCACAATCATTTGAAAGATTCCATATAGAAAGACGGATTGATGTATGAAATGCAGAAATCCTAGGCTGTATTTTAAGTAAAAATCCTTTTCAAGGTAATGTAAGCAGGATCACCTTGAATTCATTTTGGAAGAGAACAACCAGATAGCAAATATTTCAAAATGCATGAAAGAAATCAAATGTGGCCTGCAAGTCTAGTAGGGAAATAAAAGCCAGAACTTCTGGAGGCATTTTCCTACTCTAAATTACCCTGCTTTATGAATTGAGAAAAATCACCATTTTAAAATTTCCTCTTATATAGGTTATAATAGTTCTAGGTCTTACTATAAAAATAGTTTACAAATTCAATGTATAAATAATTTTTAATTATCTTGCTAAAATCAACCCTTTTTCATTTTTCCAAATCAATTTTGGTTTGCTACTCCAAAGCAGTCAGTTATTTAAATAGAGACCTTAGTGGGTAGATAGATCCCTTTGGATTGATTACTTTTAAACCTGTAAGTTTGCCTAGGGATGAAGTAGTACCCCTCAGAGATATTAAATACTACAAAAATATTCTTCAAACATGCACTCTGAGAAGTCCCTAATAGCTACATTTATAATTTTTGGCTTGGTGGATGTCATTTCATTATATGATAAATCCAGAAGGCTTTTTGGTATAAGCAATAGTTTGTGCCAAAAAAATAATTATCAGAATGAGTCCTACAATGTCCCCTTTTTTGTACATTAGCTGAGACCAGGTTTGGTTGATTCTGGAACAAAGGACTTTCAATTTGTCAAGCAACAGTTCCCATCTGGCCTATTCTCTTGCCAAGTCCCAGACCTGGGCTCATGTGTCTAAAATTTCAGCAGCAACTGAGACCATGTGTCTTTGAACTAAAAAGGAAAAGCAATTATTTCCATGAGTGACCAGATGATTTCTATATTCTCTACTGAGCATAAATGATCTACTGAGTACCACATCAATGTGATTTTACTCACTATCAAAAAAATGATATTGATTCCTTCAATTTAAGGATTCCCTAAAAGGTCACAAAGCAGTGAATTAGGTGGATGGGAGACTTGCCTGAGTCCTCATTCTGCTACTTATTGATTGTGTGACATTTGGGAAGACTCCTCACCTCCCCAAAGTCAGTTCCTCCCTTTATAAAATGTCACATTGGTTGGCTTCTAATTTTTCCCTAATTCCTATATACCTGTGTTGACCTCATGATTTGTTGTGAGACTAGGAAATAAAGTCTGGGGTTTTGATTTTATTTTCTTAGGTCTGGACTTTCCAATTTGAAACTGGGCAGCCTAACTAGAAAGTTCTGTGTTGGAAAACAACTCAAAAGTGGCAGGTGGCCATCCAGACCTTGGGTATTCCGTTTGGCTGGAGCTTGTTTGCTTAGCACCTTCTATTTCTGTTTACTTAAAATTTGGCTCACTGAGCCAACCTCAAAAGAGACACCTTTTTCTTTTGACAAAGGTCCAGTGAGAAGGAAGGGGTCACTCAAAGGTAGCAGAATCGACAGCGTCCTCTCCAGCATCAAAAGGGTATGACGCAAAACACTCAGCGTCACGGAAAAGACTGACAGTTGTGGCTTTCATCCCTCTAAAGCAAAGCAGTTATTATAAATTATCAATTTAGCCTTTTCAGAGTTTTCTTCTCTTCCTTCAGTACTGTGTTAATAACCATATATTGGTACCTGTTGCATGGATTAAGTAGGATTTTCCCCCCCTGGTTTTCAGGAGCCAAAGTATCTATATATCTCTTTCCCTTAGACATTTTTGCTCTAACGATAGGTAAAAGCAAAACAATCAATCATACAATCTGTTAAGGTCTAGCAAAAGGTAGATTTACCTTATGTGTTTCCTGAAAGCATAAATATGTATATATCAAGTCATGAACATATCTGACCTCAAATTCAACCAGCATCTTTGCTTTGTTGGCTCCCTGCTGTGACCTTTTTATGTTTCATGCTCAAGGGTTGCAGACATGATCCTCAAACGTGAAACATACAATAGTTCTGTGTGGATTCATATTAGTAACACTGATTTAAAAACTTGTTGGCATCTGATACATGTCAGCTGGCCATTCCCAGATCCTTCATCTAAGGCAGGGGTTCCTGACTTAGGCCAATTTTGTACCACCACCATGCTCCTTGCCCCAATCAGCGGACATTTGCCAATGTCCGGAGATTTTTTTTTTTCCTGCCACAACATGGGGTGTGGGGGATATGCTCTTGACTGCTAGTGGGAAAAGGCCAAAGATACTTTTAAATATCCTGCAAAGCACAAGGCACCGCAAAGGAATGACTGGGCCTAAAAGCGAACAGAGTCAAAATGAGAACATGTGCATGCCTCCACCATTCTCCTGCAGCCTTGGAGCTGGTAGCCAATTCCCAGAGTTTCCCTACTTCATTTACTGTAGAGCCAAACCCTGCTGCCATATTTGCATGGTCCACATAGAACTGAACTTTTATTTACTTCACATGCCTGTGCAGATTAACTCATCTCAAAATGATTTAGCCTTACCCTTACCAACAATATCTGTGAAAGTGTGTAGGTTTGACATTCCAATTCCACTTTCCGTACAGATCAAGATATAAATGTGACTATGAATATTAATATGGTCATCCACCTTCTACCTAAAAGTTTTTCATGGACTTCTGTGCCTGCCAGATTCCAGAAATGGCTTTGAAGGTGTTTAGGTCCAATAACTCCTCTGTGGTTTGACTCCCTGCAATCACACCCTTGCCAAGTGGTCAGGCTGCCAGTTCCCATTCACTGATTTAACAAGCAGTTCCTGAGTGTAGGCCATGTACAAGAAACAGGAGGTAGTACGTGTGTGCGTGTATGTGTGTGGGGTGTGTGTGTGACAAGGCCCAGTCCCAATCTTTCTGTGCACACGAGCTTGGGAAACAGGGACTCATTATATTATTTTTTCCAATATCTGCTATACATTTCCCAATTTTTTGCTCCTGCCTGTCACAAAAATTGATACATTTAGAGGGAAAAAGTGAACACCATAAATTATGAAATTATACTTTCAATGGATACCTTAAAGCCATTTCCATCTAATTGAATCAGAAATGTGAAGGCTTTGGCACCCTAATTTCTTCTTAAGGATTTGTACATAACCATGTGGGGGAAGAGATGAAGGTGCCTATGAACTATGAACTTGGAGTCTCCCTAATTTAGGCACCTGTTCTATCACCTTCTACCCCTCATCCATTCTCTCATATCCTGGACCTTCTGGGTTATAACCCACAAGTACCCTACTGTTCCTGGGCTGTGTGTCTCATGTCAGTTTAGTTGTTCATTCCACACCCCCGCCTTGGCAAACACTGCACTCCCTTTTGATGTCACACACCCTGAACTGTACCATTTGCATATAGTGAAGGCTGTCTGAGAGGTTCTGGGTACGACCTTCCTTTCTCCTTTCTCCAGGCATTCCCAGAGCGGACTCTTTATAAAATGTCCACAGTTAAGCTTCCCACAAAAAGCTAACCTCATGCAAGTATCAAATCTTGCTGACTTTGAAAACTAGATGGAAACATGCCTTTTTTTTTAGAGCACAATAAACACAAATCTTCCTTTCTTTCATGAAACAAAAATATAGATAACTGGCCATAAGCCCAACTCCTTCAACCTGGTGGATATAAACAACTGCTTTTGGCTTGAAAATTGATTATGTGCCAGGCACTGTGCTAACTGCTTTGTAGATACTATTTCACCTACGCTACGTAAAAACCCTCTAAATTTATTATTCCCACTTTACAGACAAGGAAACTGAGAGCCATAGAGGTAAAAAGCAGCAAGTCACCAGGATTCTGACCACTGATCTTGTGCTTCTGAGCTCCGGCCCTGGGACTTTGTTGTGTGGGTCTTTTCTCATCCAAGCCTTGTAGGTGGAGTGACTGAAAACTGAATGGGTTATTTTGTTTTGTAGAGTGTCCCAGAATTAATATGGCTCAATGAGCAGGCCTGCGCCTCCTGTGAGGGCCGGCAAAGTGTGTGGCATGACTGTTAGGTCAACAAGCGCCCGCAGGGCAGGAAATGGCGGCTCTGCACAGGGCCTTGGAGTCTTGGGGGAAGACAGTGCCGGCACCTGAAGCTGCATGTTTGTCTGGGTGAGTTCTTCTGCTTTCTTTTCCAGTGACATCACCCAGACCTTCCTCTTCTGTCTGCAGCGGGTGGCAGCTGCCCGGTTCCGTTCCAGAAATTTCCTCCGCCTCTCGTCAGGATCCTCGTCCACCACCCTCCGCCGGCGTCCCCCTGTGGGCTGGGGCGGCTGTATTGTCTGGGTTGGCTGCATCTGTTGTGTGGCTGGTGAAACCTGTAGGCACGGAGAGGGAGGACGTGAAGGGCACAGGGAAGGAAGGCCCAGTGGGGTATGGGAAGGAACCCCGGCCAGTGTCAAAATGCAAAGCACAGGAAGCCAGCTGGGTTAGTAAGCATATCAAACCTATTTTCTATGAATGAAATCACACTCATGAAAGAAACTAAAAGCATCACTGAACTGTAAAGTTTGTGCTATCTTGGCCAGGTAGAGGAATGACTCATGAAAAGGTGGTATGGTAGATTTTCCCCTAAGAAGCATTAGCTGAATTATAGTAGAGGCAATGTTATTTTTGTTCCTTCTGGTGTTAAAATAAATAAATAAACAGCAACAAAACTTTAGCCAGTGTATGGCTATTGGGTTGAAAACAAGTCAGGATTATTATCACAAAACAGACCAGTGATCTGCCAATTGAAGGAAATCTCTAGACAGGTCATGGGCTCCTTTCATTCAAATGGTGTTAAAACTGTGAACATTATCTGGGCATCATCCCCACTGTGAGTCCTGCAGAAAGTGCTCTTGTGATGTGGGGAAGGCAGCTGAAATCTCATTCTCACTATTTCCCAGGTGTTACTGCAGAGGACTATGTGGACCTGCAGACCACATGGGTCAACCTGCTCCTGGGTATGGTCTTTGGAAACGTGCAACTGACAGTGAAGGTGCCCCGAGTCTCTCAAACACTCGCACATGTGAGACAGGAGCGGTGGTGAGCTGCTGTGTACCTACACTATAAGGAAGTCCTAGGAGTGGCAAGGCACTTTATTAAAAAGTTTTACTGTGCTTATAGTCTCCTTGTAAGGTCTGCATGGGACTCAGCAACATCTAAGGGTTTGGAGAACCCCACACATATAGCTTTATTTCTCTCCATGAGGCAGACACACAGCACCTTGTGAAATTTCTACGACTGACTCTTTATATGTCTGGACACCTAATGCTTTCCTTAATGCACTTCACTCCTTCCTCCTTCTTCATTCTCAATAAAGGGTGGTTTTTCCCCCCTCTCTCCCATTTCTCAGTCACTCAGGTTTATGGCTGTAATACCTATAAAGTTGTTTTACAAGAGACATTTAACCTGCAGGAATAACAGGCAAAAACTTTTAAAAATGAAGCCCAACAACCTTTTCTACCGCATTCTAACCCTATGATTGAAATCAATCAGAATGACTGTAATTGCACTAATAATGGCTATGGGCTGACATCAACTCACTGCTGGTGATATATTTCAATTGTATGCTCTCAAACCTCTATGATGAGCTGTAAAAGAATCGGGCTCAGGAGTAAGGTTGAACTGCATCTCGGCAATTTTATCTCAAGCAGAGACATTTCTGATACTCTTTATTAGTGATTCCTTTCCTCCTGATCACAGAGGAATAACAAAATAAATTGTCTAAGGTCTTACTCACCAGAGGGGTCGCTGATGACATAATCCTTGTTATTGGCAAAGATGTAGCACTTATCATTTCAGATGCTAACTGCTGCGAAGCCAAGCATTAGGAGAGAATGTGCTAACTGCTTGACTATTTTTGCCTTTTCCATTGCATTTGTGAATTAGTGATTTCTTATTGCCAGCTCTAGACAAAACTCTCACGCAGGCAAAGCTGGGTTTTAATCTCTACTGCAGGATCCTTTATTTCAATACTCTGTCCTTCTGCCCTAATTTCAATCAACTTTTAACTGGTAACACTGTTCTGGTGCCTTCACCCAAAGGGGCAAGCAATGGTGGTGGGGCTTTTGGGCTTAAGGGAGTGGGCGTTAAGAGAAATTTCTGGTGGCTGTGAAGTAACACTAAGACGCTGAGCTCACATTCTTATATGCAGAAAAATCACACAAAACCAGGAAAAATTAAAAATGCCATCCTAGAATCGAATTTATGTTCCCAGTAATTATGATTACTTTTCATTTTACATTTAGGATGGAATTCTTTTAGTAGAGATGCTCTGAAAATTTTAATCAGGTGATGGTGGTGTGTACCTGTAATCTTAGCTAATTGGGAGGCTGAGGGGAGGACCAGCCTGGGCAATTTTGTGTTATCCTGCCTCAAAATAAAATAAAGGACTGGGGATGTCACTCATTGGTAGAGCTCCCCTGGGCTCAATCTGCACTACAAACTGATTTAAAAAAGACAGCATCTATCCCAAATCATCTTAGGATCTCACAGTTACAAGCCTCAAATCAGTCTTTCTGCTATTCAGATAATCATATGGTTAAAACAACAGTAGTCAGCTAACTTGGTATAATTTAAGAATGGGACTTAAGAATTTTGTCGAAATGATCCTGTTCACATGTTACCAGCATCGACCTAGGTTCTTTCCTTTTAGTATAGGATAAAAAAAGCAACAGCTGGTGCACCTAATTATAATGGCAATTAACTAATTGCATATACAATTGGCCACTTACTGACTTGAAACAGAGGGCAATTGGCTAATTGGTACTTAGCTAATGAATGGCTCTTATATTTAAAGGACTGTTAAACTTGCCTGTGAAATAACTTGCCCACAAAAGCAAGCAAACCTGGACATTCTCATTTTCCTTAAAAAGTAAGTACATATTTGCCTGTCTTTGATCTGGTAGCTTCCTCTCTCACCTTTTCTTGTTCTTTTTTTTGGGGGGCGGGGGTACCAGGATCAAACTCAGGCCCTTGTGATTGCAAGGCAGGCGGCAAAAACCACTGAGCTAAATTCCCAGTCTCCTTTTTCATTTTTGGGATAGGGTCTTGCTATCCAATCCAGGCTGGACTTTAACCTACTATATGTTCCAGGCTGGCCTTGAACTCACAGCATCCTCCTGCCTAGCCCAAGTGCTGGAATTACAGGTGTGTGCCATCACACTAGACATTCTGTCCCTTTTTAATACAAGTCCTGTGTGAGTAAAAATGTCCTCTGGATGGTAAACTACTTGCTAAACTTCTATGAATAATTTTGATTTGGAATTAAGCATTGCTATCATGTTCTGAAAACTTTCACAGAGATCCTCTTATTTAATACTCATAAGACCCTATGAGCTTAGCCTGTTACCACCCCTATTTAATAGATGGGGAAACTGAGGTGTGGGAGATTAATCCTGTCTGTCCACAGTCATACAGCCCTAAGGTTTTCTTACTCCAAAGATGGACATTTGTAGAAGTATAATGTGTAGATGAGAGTTTCTTGTGGCTGACCCACTTTTGCCAACAGCTGTTCAGCTGTGGTGTACCTTAGGACAGAGATCCCAAGAGCTCAAAATGCTGCCTGATATGGGGTCTTGTTTCCAGAGGCAGATGATGGAGGAAACAGTGAATAAGTGCTACTTAGTGGTCCCCAGCTGATGACACAGCTCTGACCCGACGGGTTAGGATCTGGCATCGTGGACTGATGGAGGTCATCCAGCTTGAGGATCCACCGTGTCTAGGGCTCGCCATGTTCTTGGAGATGCCGTTCATCCGCTTACTACAGCCCACTCCTGTGCGTGGACTTGCCTTCCGGCCTGAGTGACATAACGTCTGCCTGGTCCCCCAACTCTCTTTGAGTTTAGTCTGAATGCTGGCTTGCTTTCTCGCCACTTCTCGTGATTCTCCACCCCTGGGGTTTAGCCTTTCTCTTGGTCTGATCATCCAAAGAGCTTGGCTCTCTCTGCTTCCTCCAACGCATTTCTCATTCAATGGGATGAGTCACCTGTCCTCACCATTTGCAAAGCACCTTATAACCTAACATCCATCACCGAGCTTCTTTGTCTGCATGAATTGTTGCTCTGTAGATTTTAACATTTACCTTACTCGAGGATTTCCTGTTGTATTTAACTTCCACGTTACAGGTGTGAAAATCAAGTCTGTATGATGTTTTAAAGAGTAACACCAAGTAGCAGGGTTAGAATTAACTTATTTTGCTCCTTCCTTTTCACATATTGATCACTAAATTAAATTCCTCCCTTTCTTGGCATCATTATTTTACTTCTTTTAGGACTAACTTTGTAACACAAAACATAGACGGCGGAGAAGTTTATATTTGTCTCTAGTGACCTGAAATTTATTGTATTATTAATAGAAATTATTATCTGATAATGTCTGCTGGGTAACTATCACCTCCTAAGAAGCAAACAGAACTTCCAAGAATGTTAGATAGAAGCCCTGGTGATCAAATAAGCTTCTGCAGGTGCCCCCAGCATGAGTGCTTGCACTGTTCACAGGAATGAGATGGGGTAGGAGACAAGATTGCAGGAGGGTCTACCTGTGCTTGGTTGCCGGTGTGCAGGGGCGGGTGTGGCGAGGTCTGGTGATGTGCTGGGTGGGCGTGGAGGTGGGAGTGAGAGTGGTGATGCGGGTGGTTCTGCTGGTGATGTGGCTGAGGGTGAGGGTGGTGTGCTGGGTGCTGGTGCTGGTGTGGGTAGGGGTGAGGGGGCGGCAGCGTCTGGTGCTGATGTGGGTGCGAGTGCATGTGATGGTGCGGCGTCTGGTCCTGCCGGGAGCCCATCATTTCCATCATGTGTCCCATGGTGTTCATATTCCCATTTGACATGGCAGCAGGATGGTGAGTCAGCGCGGCCTTCAACCTCTGAAACAGAATAAAACAAGAGGGGAGAAGTGAGGTTGCTCGGGCACTTCGGGATTTTGAAGCAAAAGGAGTAATATTTTCAGTTCTGTTGTACTTAGGGGTGCTATTATTAACACTTGCTATAGCTAGCAGGATAGCTTTTATATTAATGTCATATTTCCTTATATATTGTGATAGGTTGGAGGGTCACTATCATCCTAACTCCCGACTAAACCATCACAGCAGCTGCATCAGACACCCTCTCAACATTTAGATATCCAGTCAGGCATGTACTTCCTTGTAATTCCAGCTACTGCAGAGGCTGAGGCAGTGGGATTGCAAGTTGGAGCCTGAGCTGGGCAAGTTAGGGAGACTCTGTCTTAAACTAAACAAAATAAAAACTGAAAAGGGCTGGAGCATTATAAAAATGTTCAGTGCTCCCTAGGTTCAATTCCCAGCAATGTGTGTGAGTGCACATGCGTGTACACACGTGGGCACACACACTCACACACAAATTAGATACTAAAAGAAATACTAAAAGATATTTCTTACCATTCAAAAATTCATCATATCCTCTTGCTAACTGAGTGCAAGCACAAGTCAAACAGAATCATTCACTCTGATAATGCCACTGGGCAGATAGTTTCCATTTGATTAGGCACCGTGTTTTGTAAGGATTATAAGAATAAAAGATTTTCCTTCTCAAAAGATTTCACAGATGCACAGGAGAATTAATTTCACATTTTAGAATGCAGTAATATTACTAAAATTATGTTAGGACTTTGAATTAGCATTCGCAATCCATAACTTCTGGAGGCAATGCCTAGGTCTTTTCCTTTTGTTGCCATATTTCTCATGCCCTCTCCTGATAATCGAAATTTCCTCACACAACTTTTTTTTAAACTTAAAAAGTAAGTGAGGAAAGTGGAATGCTATGGCCTATTGCACTTATCTATGTTCTGTAACAGCTGCATCACCCGGCTGCATATATTTCTAAAAACAAAACAATGTTCACTAACAAGCAAACAGGCATGCCCACCAATAACTGACGTGAATCTAAAGCAGGAGCCAGCAACTATTTTCTCCAAAGAGTAAATATTTTTGCCATTGTGTACCTTACAGTCTCTATCACAGCTACTCACTTCAGCTGAAGTGGGGCTAAAGCAGCTGTAGAAAATATATAAACGAACGTTATGCTTTCTCGTGCAACTTTATTCAGGGACAGAAAAGGTAAATTCCATATGATTTTCACATGATACAAAATGTTATTCTACTTTTAATTCTCTCCCCCATCACTTAAAATGTAAAACCCATTTTTAGCTCACGTGCTGAATAAAGCCAGGCAGAGGGCTGGGTTTGGCCCATAGGCCACAGTTTGCTAAACCCATTCTAAGGGATCAGTTGATAAGCATCTTTGACCCAGTGTCTTCAAGATTGTTTTTCTTCTACACAGGCAATTATCACCCTAATCCTGAGGGGCACGATGTTCTAAGTACAGTATAATGCATTTACTCCTTGGAAATGTATCCTACGCAGAGATGATAGCCTAATTGGCAAGCTCACATTGGCTTCATGAAGTATTTACTAGGAGACTCAAGTTCTCTCCAGATGTGTGTTCTTATCTGACTGATGACAGTGATGTGTAATCACTGAGGGAAGAGAACTGCATTTAAATGATGATGAAAGCCACCAAACTCTAGCCCTGCACAGCATTAATGATTCTCAACCATTAAACTATTAAGAAATACCAATTTAGTTAATCCAAATCTTTAGTTAAACATAATGAGCCTGTACTTGTAAAAAATAAAATAGGGAGGGTGGGATGGCATACTAGGTATAGATAACCATTGAAAACACTTCCCATGTGCTGCTGCACTCACCGCTTTGTCCACTTGCCTCCTCGCCTCCTCTTTCAGAAGCGATGGCTACTGACCTTTGTGAAGATAATACTGAGGAAGTGAAGCTTCCTGAACCCCTGGGAAAGATTAGCTGCTGGCATTATGTTTATTACTAAACAGGGAAGTGAACTAATAGTCCTCATCTCACAGTTTTAGAAATGATTTCATTGTTTTTATAAAAATGCTCATTATAAAATATTTAAGCAATGCTTAAGAGTGCAATGAAGTCAGCCACACAGGAGCCAAATGGGTTGTTTATCCTGGTGAGCAAAAGGCATTCCAGACAACTCCACATATGCACAGGTAGAGATGAAAGAACCAGTAGGACAACTTTATAACAGGGAAATCATAATAAAATTTAAAACTCTTTTTGACTATGGCATAGCAAAAAAAAAAAAAAAAAAGAAAGAAAATCAAATTAAAATTGAAGTGAAAGAAATATTTCTTTACCCAAGAAAATTTTCTGAACATTTCTAAATTTAAAGATGAAAAAAAGGAAATAAATTATGTTGAAATCATTATTTTTCATTTGATTTACTGTATAGTAATGATGAACTTTATAAAAAATTTCTGGTAATTTCATTTTATAAAGTATGTAATTGCATAGTAAAAACCAATCATCTGCTGTCTAGCTTTCTCCCCCTAAGCCGTGGTCTCATTCCTCAAATATAACCAACCTGTAACTTCAGATATCTGCTTAGCGTTTACAAGGATACATTTGCACAAACCCCTATGATAAGGGGTAGTTTTGCATCCCGCTCTCTATCAGTAAAAATAGCTAGCTGAGACTGATAATTAGCATTAATTGAGCACTCACTACATGTCAGTTCTCATTCTATGTGTTACAAATATCAAGTCTGTAGTCTTCAAAACAACTCTGCCAAAGCCAAAAGCTAGGCAAAGCCATGGTGGGTGAGAGGGAGGTACCTATCCTCTGCCCAGGAGACATGGTGTGGGAAAGCATGCCATTCACCCTTTGCCAGAAACAGTAATAATCCATACAAATCCACCACCCCATCATCAAAAGGAGAGGCAGAAAGAAAGAGGAGCTAAAATATTGATTCGAGGTAGTAACGGGTTAGCCTTCTTAGCAGACCAGCGGAGCTCCAGGTACACTCTGTCTGAAGTTTGGCAGAGGGGAGGGTGGATAGAAAGAATTTCCAACGAGTCATCTGCAGCAGAGGACCATCCAGAGCTTACTATCCTCACCTTCCTTGTGTTTTTTAGGACCTCATACTTAACATTTCCCCCACCCCAAAACACATCATGTCTGTGTTTTGGGGTGGGGGAAATGTTATGATGAGCCTCGTGTATCCCTTCTCTCCCTCCCCGCTTTCTAACCCAGTGGCTCAGAAATGCCTGTTCAGCCGATGAAAGTCAGAGACTTTACCATGGCCTTTGAATAGTCCATGCAGCGTCAGGCCCTGCATTCCCATCACCTCCATCTTCCCTTGCAGACACACTGGCCTGTTTTAGTCCCTGGAGGGAATATAGTGTTTCCTGCAGGCATGAGGCCTTTGTGTTTGAGACTTTTCTTATCTAGGCTGCTCGTTCCCTTTCTTCGGATATTCTCTGGCTCTCAGTTCAGGATCCACCTTAGTAAAATTCCCCTGGCCTAAATCAATTCCTATTGATAATATGGTGCTAGTTAAGAGCAACATTCGTTAAAAAAAAACAACGTGGTTTGCAGTTATAAATAAGAGTTTTAGCATGATTATTCACTTGATATCTATCATTCATCCCAGATCATAAGCTTTATGAAAACATGAATCATTTGAACTTTGCTCGGTGTTAATTTTACAGTGCTAGCATCATGCCAGATACATATTAGACATGGAATTAATACTTTTGTAATGAATGGAAGAATGAAAATCTGAATGAATGAATGAAACTTCTGGGGCCTATGACACGGCTTTTTATCTTGGAACACTAGGATCATGCAGGTAAAATTGGTGTGGGAGGATGACTTTACAATTCAACCTAATTTAGCAGAATCAGCTATAGAAGTCATGTAGGCAGATGGTCTGTAAAAGTACTGTTAAAAAGAGCTGCTCACTCCACACGTGGCCTGCCCTCTAGAAAATGACGGCAAAGAAAACATAAATAAATAAGAAGAATGCACATTAACTTCATCTTGATATATTTTCCCCGAAAATGAGGCATGGAAAATTGAAAAGCTGTTTAGGAGTGGGTCATCGTGTTTTCTCTTCAATGCTACAAACAACTTTTCCACCTTTAATTAGGAGCAAATGGAACCTGACAAATAAATACTATGCACCAGATCTTCATCTCTCAAATAATTAGCTTGTACTGTTAAGGGAAATTACTTGATTGCCTCAAGTCTGTTCTTGCATATTTCACGCCAAGGCAATAACACTAGCGATGCTAATAACATTCCATTTAACTATTTATTCACCCAACAAATATTTATTGGGCTTTGACTATGTGCCAGGCACTGCACTAGGCACATTATCTGCCCACTATCTGCAGCAAATGGAAGACACATAAAATTAAATCTTGTTTTAAAAGTAGTGGAGAGGAACAAAAAAATAGACCCTTCAGTGGGGAAATGAAGACTTCAAGCACCCCTCAGAAAACTCCAGGCCACTGGTTGAGTTTACCCTTTGAACATCAGCCTTTGTTAAGTTTGAAGGAAAGCAGCGAAGACAAATGATTATCAAGCTGCTCTGCATATGCCATATTTGATATCTCCGTGTCATTTTTAAAAGTCCCAAAGAGCCACTGCATCCCTGTATTCTGGTGCCAACAAGAGCAACTGCATTGTGAGTCATTAAAATATACCACATGTAGATATTTGTACCCCACTCTCTGAGGGATGATAAATGAACAGTGAATGAGTCCATGCTGTATTTTGCAGTTATTTTTCTTTTTGAAGCTGAACTGTGTCTTGTTTTAAATAACATTCTGCCTAATGCCAAGCAAATATAAAGGAGAGAGGAAAATTAATGAGCAAATAAATAGATTTTTTTTTTTCTCTAAAAACCAGGACTACGATGGAGATAGGACTGTAAGAAGGACAAAATGATTCCATTGCCTTTCCATCCTTTTTTTATCACCTTCACTTATTTGAAAGTGTGAGCCGGGAGAGACAGAGGAGCCTGA